TTGTGCTAATTAAACTAACTAACTTAATATACCTTTATAATAATTGTATAATTATCACAAAAAAAAAAAAACTTTAAATAGCCAAAAGTAAACTGGAGGCAAATGCAGAAATTGTATTAAAGTAAAAGTGAAGTACAAATCAAACTAACTAACTTAATGAGCAGCAAATCAACAAGATACCCATGCATGAAACAGTATCTGACAATGAACTTAACAAAGGCTGTATAAATGACTTTATTACTTACAGTGCACTCTGAAAAACTCATTAGGACAAACACGGTCTTTAATGTGTTAATATTGTGCATTGTGTCAAAGTTGATTTTTGAATAATTTAACATTTTTCTGATTGATCAGCTAGTTTTCCTTCTATCATGTTCTTTTAGTAGGATTTCCTTAATTTCCTAATAAACAATAAATATTACATTTCATTTCTTAATGAATAGCCTCATTATTTATTTATTCATGTATATGATTTATATATGATATTAGCCTTTGTTAGTGATTTTATGTTAATTTAGAATAGAATATGTAATGTTCTCAGTACTATTTTTACAGGAAACATAGGCCCTATATGTGCCATTTACATATTTCAAATAATATGGAAAATTATCAAACAATAATATTGTTTTTTTTAAATGCATGTGCGTGTAAAACAATATAATTTGCACAAATAAATTATGTTTTTTTTTTCTCTAAAGACATTGTTACCACCCAGTTTAAAGCATCATTATAGGTGTTTTACGTTATAAACATGGTTCAAACGATGGAACTGCGACAGAGAAACTACGGTTTTGGGAAACTCATCATTACATCATTCTTTTCCCAAACAATGCATCATACTATGATAGTTCAGCCGCGGGTTATGTCATTGTTTGCTTATTTTCCAGCCTGACCAGCTAAGACCAGGCTGGAAATGGCTGGAAACCAGCCTGGAAATGGCCAAAACCCCTCTAAAACCAGTCTGGCCAACCAGCTAAAATTAGCCAACCAGCTTTGGTTGGTTTAAGCTGTTTTTTTCAGAAGGAAACCTGATCCTTGTGTCAAATAAGAGAGCCATACAAAATGTGCAGAGTGGGGTAGCCCAAGGATTGGAAATTGAGAACCACTGTTTTATACAGAAAGAAGATCGGCTGTCTTTACATGCACCTTTTCAGTGGTGTAATGCAAATCAGTTACTTTAAATACGAGCAGTGATGCTTAAATTATGTACCATAATATGGATTAAAATAAGTCTAGACTAGAACTATGTAGTTTTTTTTTATGAATGTGGAATGCAGCTGCTCCAATTTTATTGTTTTTTTAAATAAAAACGTGATTCCACAAATAATTTGTTCATTAAAAAAGAAGAAAAGAAAGTAATAATGCACTGAAATACCAGCATTATACTTAAAAAAGACATTTGTAGCCTAAGTATATATTTATAGTAAATATATACTTTTTCTGACTTTCTGTATTAACAATAAATATGCAAATAGGAAGGCACGATAAAAAAAAGCTATTATTTCACAATTTGAATTTCAAGGAAAAATGCTAAACAATAAATAACACGGAGCTTGTAGCACCATAATGTGAAACTTTAGTTGTAAATTTGAAGATGTATTAATATTGTGCTCGTTCTTTTTAAATTGTATTTTGGTTGCATCTGAGATATGCGCCACACCATAATATCATCTTAGCAGTTAAAAGTAAATACACTTCATTCTAGACCTGCATTCGATGCATGGAAAGAGCAAAATAATAATGCAAGTGTTAAGTTGCTTGTTTACATTTAAGTTGGATTAAAAGTTTTTAACTAAATCCAAACTAAATTTAAGTCAAAGTCAGCGTTATTGTCAATTCAACCTCATGTACAGGACATACAGTGAATCGAGTAATTGCATTACTCAGACGCTAGGTGCCTAACATATAATATTAATACAAAAAGTTAAATTTAAAAAATAAATTACGATAAATACAATTACACATGAAATATAATCTAATAATATAAGTAAATGCATGTGTGCCGAAGTCCAAAGGTGTGTGGGGAGGAAGAGGGGAAATGAAACCTTTGTTTTTTTTTTCCAACTGAACTGTGATTGACTAATTGAAACACAAAAGTTCCATCCATCCATCCATCCATCCATCCATCCATCCATCCATCCATCCATCCATTAATCCATCCATCCATAAAAAATCTTAATTTAATTATTTACGGTATTCATATAAAAATGAAAATATATCTTTAATGTGGCCCTCCATAGTGGAGGAGGATGTCCCATATTCCAGTGTTCTTATTCAAAATTAGAATGTGATCATTAATATGTTTATACGCATTAATACATGCTTTAAAGGTACCAATAAAAAGCCAACATCCAAGCTATTAGGTAGGAATCAGTCCTCGTATTAAGCATGTTGCATTATTGCTTCTTTTATCTTCAATAGGATGCTGTATAATTGTGAGCTGTAATGCACTCTAAAATAGGTGTAATCGGTCTCAGTTTTGGAAAGTGTTCATAAGGCCAATAACCATATATAGATATATTTATATATACAGGTTAATTAGAATAACTAATCAGCAGAAATCACAAGGCCTTAATTATTTAATTGCACTACCCTGGATTCAGATAGATTACGCACAGCTTCTGTTTTCACTATCTACAGCTTTTGCTCTTTGATGAGAAACTACAAAAGCACCATTAACGCTTATCGATGAAATCGTTGAGTCTGGACGGGAGATATTTTATATCACTTTTTTTTTTAAACAAAGCAATGTTTTTTTTTACGCGAAAATAAAAACCGCAATGTGTGCGGCAGTTTAATCTCATGAATGTTTTAATGAGGTAGATATTAAAAACATGCTCATTCATCGGCTCTCTGATTTCGGAGCAGAGCGAGGCTGGTCTATTTTTAGCTGTCTGTTGCTGGATTGTGCAGCACGTGAGCCTCCACCCCCCCCAAAGCCATAGATAACAAGGTGGAAAATAGGGAATGTCACCAGTGACAGGGCCATGTTTCCGATGATTGTATGGATGCTTTTAAAAATATCTCTGTGCTAAGACACAGCAATTACAAAAGCTCCACACTTTCTCATCTCACATGGGATTAACTGTTACATTTATAGACCTGTAAGGAGTCGAAATCTTAGAAAAGGTGGGGAATATATTTTCTTCTTCAGTCTGCTGAAAAAAAATGTCTATGTTAGGAACAAACGTATAAAGCAGGCTGATGTACAGAGCTAACATCAGGATGCCAATCATTATATTTAGATTTTTGTGTTTCTCTGGATGATTTTACATACAGTTGAAGTCAGAATTATGAACCCTTCTGAATTATTATCCCTCTGTTTTTTCCCCGATTTCTATTTAACGTAGAGATTTTTTCAACACATTTCTAAACATAATAGATTTATTAACTCATTTCTAATAACTGATTTATTTTATCTTTGCCATGATGACAGTAAATAATATTTAACTAGATATTTTGCAAGACACTTCTATACAGCTTAAAGTGACATTTAAAGCATTAACTAGGCTAATTAGGTTAATTAGGCAGGTTAGGGTAATTAGGCAAGTTATTGTATATCGAGGGTTTGTTCTTTAGACATTCTAGCCAAAATAAAACAAATAAGACTTTCTCCAGAAGAAAAAAAAATATTATCAGACATACTGTGAAATTGTCCTTGATCTAATAAACATCATTAGGGAAATATAAAAAAAAAGAAACAAAAATTCGAAGGTGGCCTAATAATTCTGACCAACTGCATATAGCACATGCTTTTCAAACCAGCAGTATTTAGCACACACTCAAACACTGACTTGCTCTTTGTTAATAAATTGAGCGTAAACAACACAATTCTTAAGTTTTTTTTTTTTTTTGCCACAACTTAATTGTTTAATGTTCAATCCACTTACATTTCTAAAAACTATTAAGTTAACTTAATTTGTTAATTCTGTTAAATGGTCAGACTGTATAATAATAATAATAATAATAAACAATAATAATAATAATAATAATAATAATAATAATAATAAAGCGTTTTCACAAGGTGTTCACTTGAAGGAAACAAAGAAAAAAAAGATAAAAGTGCATGGACAAGGTTAGCAAAGCTAATGGCCTGTTTCCACTGAGTGGTATGGTGTGGGTCACCTTTATCACGGTTGCGTTTCCACTGACAAAAGAGTGCAATTGGCGTAGGCGTGGTGTGGTGTATGATAGAAAGTTTTAGTTGATGTCATTCACACTCGAGGAAATGTCAAAGTAAAGCTGTACGGATCGTTCACATTTCATATGAGAAGCACTTCTCACGCAACACATTCTCACTCCCAACTCGTCACATACTGACGCTTGGTCAGGAACCCTCGGCGTCAGTTATTGACGCACAGGGTACCCCTTTAGCGTCATATTTAGACGTGCAGGGATTCCCTATAGAATCTGTGCCTGAGCCTGAGGCGTCATATGGAGACGCTGGAGGCTCGTATAATTACCAATAGATGTCAACGCAATTTTTAAAACCTGATTTACGCCTATTATCTTAGTTTTCTTATTTTAAAAATATGTAATTTTTATTTTGTTCATGAAAAGCGTCTGTAAACGGGGTCGAAACTACTGTATGAATAAACTTCGGCCCACGTGACATCCCTTCACGGTGAGTTTAACGCCGCTCTGCTATTGGTCAAACTGCATCAGCGGTGAGTTCTCAGATGAGTTCAACTGTCATCATTAAATATTACGTTAATGCTGCATAATATATTTTTATTGGAGATTAGTTGGTGTTTATAAATATTTTATCATTTACTTTATATTTAATGAGTGAAAATATATTCGGTTGTCCAGTTTAGGGTAACTATGCCTAATAAAACTTTGATTCATTCATATTATTTATTATTTTTTTACTTTAAAAAAATATTAAATTTCAAGTACTAAGTTTAAAAATGTTTTCGGCTGATATTTTTCATTTTAAATTATTTATTAAAGTTGGGGTCATTGTATGTGGCGATCTATTTTTTTACAGTCTATGCTCGCTATCCCAAGGTTCATTGCGATCCCAAGGTTCACTGCGGTTTTCCACAAGGTAAGTAAAAAGTAAACAAATAAACACGATTTGTTGATAAAGCATGTACTGTAAACTAGCGACGTTATCTAATTACATCAAGTTCATTTATTAAAAACATATTTTTCTCACATATAACGTTGGTCATGCATTAGAACAATATATACATTTTAAGATAAGGAACAGTGTAACCAGATTGTTGTTTTCCACAATAGAATTCGTGCAAAATCTATATATAATATGCAATATGCAACTCTAATAATACAAATGTATTCGTAATTGTTTCAATATTAAATAACATCAAGTGTTTCCAAAGGTTTATTGTAAAAACAATTATTTTCCATGCCTTTAAAGGAAAAAGGCAGACATTTTGCCCGTCTGAGCACATTTTATTCATTGTACAACACAAAACTAAACAAAAAAATAGCTTAATCTACCACACACACACACACACACACATATATATATATATATATATATATATATATATATATATATATATATATACATATACAAGTGTAAATTATTAGGTGTTCACTGTTCAGATATGAATATTTTTTCTTTGCTCTTTTCAGGTTCTTTAGATTTCTTTAAAAATCCAATTTTGTTTTCTAATAAGCAAAAAGTAAAATCACTTTACCCATGTTTATATGTTAAATTGCACTTGTCTCTCTCTCTATCTCTGTTAACACATTTATATTTGTTTGATTAATTCTTGTGTCTTTCAGCCTGTTTCTGCCTATCACCATGAGTGATTCCTCAATACTCAGATTTATCATCAAGATCTCAATTATAAGCTCAAGTTTTGATGACAACTTGGTGATCTGCAGAAAGCACCACCATGTAAGGAAGGCCAAGACCACTCTGGAATCAGTCAAGGGTTAGTGAAGTTTTTCATTCCATGTATATGAAATGTCTACATTGTTTAGGCATATGTGATTGTATGAGATAAAATGCATTTATTCTTTCACTACTATTGTAATAACAGAAAGAAACGCATTAGTTTTACTATTACTATTGCTTATGACAAACATTAAAAAACTACAGCATAAGCTCACAAAATATTGTGGCCTAACTGTTTAAAACTAATTGTTCTGGGTGTTGATAGTGGCCAACCATTTTTTTTCTTTTTCAGAAAGTATTTTGTTTTGTCTGATTTTATAACACCTTATAGGCCATCAACTGTCCACATTGGGGTTTAGGAAATTAGAACTGCTTATGCTGCTTGTCTACTAGTCTTAGGATAAGTTAGAAATGTTATAAATGTACATTTTTTTGTTGTTTTTATCTGGTACAGCTCATAGGAACTCCAATCTTCCCAACTGTGAGAGGGCCTTGCTCCAGTGACTGTCAGTGTGTACTTCATTGTTTCCATTAGTCCCTGTATCTGTAGACCTAGGTGACAGTGGGCTAGAGTAAAATTTTGGTTTTATTTAAACTAAGGCATACTGATGGCCTTTTAATCTCAGATTTGGTCATGCAAGTATTAATATATCCTAAAGTATTTTTATATTCTTTCCATTGGTGGAAAAGATGTTGGTATAATAATTTTTAATGGACTGCTAAGATCTCAGCAGACATTTTTCTGAGATATTCTTGAGTGGGAGTCTGTGCAATACAAGGTGGATAGTATTTGCAAGGAAGAGCCCTTCATCTGTTCTGCTTCCACACTAGATATACTGCCAATTTAAGTAGATATGAACCATAAGCATAACCATTTCAAGAATGCACGAGGTACTTTAAACTGTATGTGTTGAAACTAAATTAACAAGAAAACAGCTCTGTGATGTTCACCTAAGAAAATTAGATTAGAAGATATAAACTGTTATGCACTTGTTCTGTACTGTTTCATTCCTTTTTCAAACACTGGCATTTTTGAAGGTTTATTTACAGCTAAGGATTAAGAATTGACAGGAAGATTTGTGGACTACATCAACTAATGACACTACCTCCAAAGAGTTGCAAAAAGCTGTCCAAAGTTTCAGCACCATCTTTAAGCCCATGATTTTAGTGTGTTTCATGCCTAATCACATGAGTTTATATCTGACATAGATGAACTATGTGATTGTCTTAAACTGATCTACAAGTAAATGCCAAAACTTATTGGTTTACTTATTTATTTGTTTGTTTGTTTGTTTGTTTGTTTGTTTGTTTGTTTGTTTGTTTGTATATGTTAACCAGGTGAAATGGAGTGAGGCATACCAGGATATGCCTGGTTTTACTTTTGGGAAGGAGGTTGAACAGTGCAATATTTCTTCTATAGGATTGGAGTGACCAGACATGCTACTGTAACTCTCATGGTCATGTGCTGGAATTAGCAGATATTCAACAATTTGGCCATCTCTCTGACCTATTGATATCAGAAGGTAACAATATCCAGTTGAATTTGTTTTGGTTGTTCAGTAACCTATTTTAATAATATTGTGATTTTTGATTGCTTATCACTGTAGACCGCAACAGCTCTGCAAAGCAAGTTGCAAAACAGAATCCATGAAACTGGCAGTGACTGGAAACCAATTGGAAGACTTTGGTCTGTGATGTAGAGGAGTGGGCAGAGGGTGAGGAAATTCTTATTAATATTACATGTAGTCATGAAAAATTGTGTTACTATTACTGTCATTTTTTTTTTTCAGTAGCAGAAGCAAAGACAACAAAAAACAGAAGTGATATGGATGTCTTCGTCATATTGCATGGTATGTACACTAGACTTCTGTCAGTGTTGATTCTTTAAAAGTTGACGTATAATCCTTGTTATACAACTTTCTTTTCATAAATATATTTCAGACTTTGCTGACCCAGCAACAAAGAGGAGGGTGTTCAACATCATCCTGCTAGTCAGGATTCTTCAGGAGAAGCAGTGGATTCTTGTGGCAGAGATGGTCAACCACTATAAATACCTTTCAACTCATCCTGGTTCTTTCAAAGAACTTTCCTGCTTGTTTGCTTCTGAAAAGTACTGGTATGTATTTGTATTATTTGGCACAGACATAAGCATAAGGTTACCCAGTCCAAAGGATATTAATATATTTTTATGTTGTTGTGTTCTTCTTTTAAGATTCGACATGTGGCCTTAACGAAGAGGGGTTAAAAGGTCTATGGATCATCATTCTCAAAAAGCAACAAAATAACTGAGAAATAAACAACAATAAGATGGTGCAATCTAGAAACCTGCAAGGTACCTGCAAGTTTTGGCTGGAGCAGAGAACATAGATTTTTTTTAAATAAAGCTCCAGCTGATGAGTATGACATTGACTGTGGATTTTCTTTTACTGTAATCCAGAAGAGGATGACCTTAACCCTGAATCTAAAGCATGTAATAAAATCTGTAAAAAATTAAATAAAATTGTCATCATCTATAACCAAATTGTCTTTTTTTTAAATACATAGATATGTACAGTATGTAAGCATTCCTCTAAAATCAATCAGTGTTGTAAATCAAGAGCATTATTGTATGCCTCACTGCTTACAACATATAACGATTTAACGAACTCTATATTAAAATGAAATTATTACATTAAGTGACATTAAGAGCTTTTAAAATATTAATTTTATGATACATTTTTATGATAAATTTAATTTTTGCATATACTTGGGCAAAAAATGTACATTATTATGGTCAACTGCTCAGATACCTCCAGTCAATATGTGGCTGAGTCAGGCAACCACACTTCTACCTCTGGAAAAATTAACCTATGATTTACATCAAAGATCTGATGGATCCATTTGGTCCTCATGGATTTTTCTAAAAAAAAAAAAAAAAATTAATCTCCTTTTATTTTTGTCCTTACTTTGAAACATTTGTATTAATTTGTTAGAATGTCTAACAAAAAACTGCTGCACTTGTTGTGAGATAACAGTGCGACTGTTGTTATTCTGAAAATAAAAATTTACTTTGTATAATGTTTTATTGAATGCAAGATAAAAAATAAAATATTTTCCAAGAGATGGATTGCGGCTGGAAGAGCATCTGCTGCATAAAAACATGCTGGAAAAGTTGGCGGTTCATAGCACTGTGGCGACCCCTGGTTAATAAAGGGACTAAGCCAAAAAGAAAATGAATGAATGAAAATAAAATATGTATTGAAATATGTATTTTTGGTAGACATAGAACTACACAGTAACTTATAAATACAGCACAGAACTATTTTACTTCTAGTTTAGATAATTTAAATGTTTGCATTTTTATTTTATTGGTTATTGACTATGTATTTTTAATCATTTGGAGGTTTGAACTATACGCAGCATTTGAAAGGATATCTTTTCATCATTGTTACCTCATTTCTCAATATTTTCATGATTCTTACAATGCAGCAAATCTTACAATCATTTGATCATAAAGAAAATAATTAACAAATTAACCCACATGCAGGACAAAGACATTATGTGGAATCATTATTTAACACAAAGTTCATCCATTGTCATCAAATCATACTGTTACACAAACAGTTGAAGATTTAGAAAGTAAAAATAATCAGATAAAGAGTGGTTTTTAAACAAATACATGTCTTTAAAAAGGTTTTATTTATAAACATTTACATATTTTAAAAGAGCTTTTATCCATATTTCAAATAAAGTGAAAACAATTAAATATCACATGATGACCATTAATGAAACACACTTTCAGAATTACATCCACACATATTATTCTGAACTCATAACATTTGTGATGAACATAGATCACTATTGCTAATAACTTGTAATTAAAGAGGATACTAATGTTTAGCTTATTTTTACAGCTTTTTTTTTTTTTTTTTTTTACCACAACTGTACATGTGACAATACAATTTCTTGTCCATGTTGAAGATAATACATCTACATAGGTTAACTGCCCTTTTACTCAAAGGGGATGAGTAGAGCCCCGTAGAAAAGGAAAAAGTATTCACATTTCAAACGAGAAATGAGTGAGAGAATATCAGCAAGACTATTACCTATGCTATGTTCAATAAATAATGTTGGATATAATAGTCTGATATATACTGATCAAGTCAATAAAAGCTGTTTAAAAAATACTCATTGTAAAATAACAAATTTATGCCTGGCTTTCATATATGTCATAAATATATGCACAATGACCTTATTCAGATAGTCTTTAGTTCATTAAAATTTGTATCTGTTCCATTTTATTACAAAAAGGCTTTAAACTACATTACCCACAATCCTTTGTCGCTGTATAGATGGGAGGGGAAAGACATGGCGCTACAAATTGTAGTTCCTTGAAAGGTGTAGTTAGGGTTAAGTTTAGGGTTACGATCTTGGTTAATCGTTAACTATTTAAAACACAGCGATAACTCATTGATAAAGGACACTGTTAGTAAAGTGGCAAAGTTAGCAAAACATAGTTAGCAACACGAAGGATCTTTTAATTTGGCTTTGAAGTTATAGTCCAATCACAACGTCGCAATCTACGTCACACTTTGTCTCTATTTGGTAATCTTCCGGCTGAAGGTTGATTATAACCTTATAATATAACTTAAAAATCAAAATGTGTATTAATATTACATGCTATTTATTGTCTTATTAAAAATACAAATGTATATTTACCGTGAGATTACTTTGTGGGGGTAACCAGATGTGCAAAATGATCATAGTAAAACCAGATCATAGGCAGTATACTTAATTTGAAACGAATAATAAAATAATAAAAAAGCTTCATGTTTGAAAACATTTCAAGCATTTGCTGTAACTAAACCCTGCATCATGTAGGTATACAAATATAAATATATGTAAAACTTAAATGACAAATATAGTGCCCATTAAATAGTATAAATAATAGTTCATTGTAAATGAGTATGCAAATAAACACAATACATTTTTAATGAAACATTTATAATTTATTTATAATGCCACAAATAAAAATAAATAATAAAAATCACACAAAAATGCAAAAATATATATTTTAACCAAAAATATATATTTTATAAGTTTTTAATGCAATAATATATTACCATACATATATAAATGATTAAAAACAATTATAATTGAAGGAAATGTATATTTTGTATTATTATTATTATATTTATTTTGTGATATTTATTCATGTCATACATCTGGTATGTCAAGCTCAAGTAAAACTGCACTGCAAAAAATCTTTTCAAATGATGGCTTTGGAAATGCCATCATAATAAACAGCTTTCACAACAACAAGAAGTCAAGTTCATGACAAATGCAAATTATATTTATAATTACAACTTTCTGAACTTAAACATCAAAAGTAGAATAAGTTCAAAACATATTCAAGTATTTACTGAAGAATAGCAAAAACTATTTTTACAAAACACTGAGAACCAAAGTGTGCTTGGTGAGTCCAGGTGTTTATGCTGACTAGACTGTCATATTGCAATCCGGTTAGCATGAGGAGACTTGGGCGTAAAGTGTCAGGAATTCCTGGAGGGCTCCCATGTGTTATTCCAGGTTTTGCCACTGTAAAGTATTAGAAGTGCACAACATCATTACTGAACAAAGAATGAGTGTTAGGTTTCATTTAGAAAGTTCAGTGATATTTATTTATATATGTAAAGTGTCTAAACCTGGCACTCTTGAATTAACTGTATAATAGGTTAAACATTTCCAGCATGTTTCCATGTATTCCAAGCAGATCTGTCAGTTCTACAAACTCAGAGATCAGGATAGTGACTGCACTTCTCATTATGAACACCCTTATCCTTCTCATACATTTTTATCACCACTGATGTCCACTGTTGTAGTTTTCATTGAAGGGAATGCTGACACAAATTCCAGCATGATTTTTTAAATAGCAGAATATGGGTATTATTGGGCCAAAACCTTAAAAAATATAAGATGCAAGATTTGAATCTTGATGAACATATTGTTAATTCACGTCTTGCAATTTAAAACACATCTCATGTTTGACTCATCAATTATATGAAAACTACAACAGCATACTGTGCTCCACCCTAAAAATATTTCTAAATTATAACAAGCTTATTGCTTTACATGGCTAAACATTTATTTTATGCCTGCATGATTCACTGCTATTACTGTAACCCATTACACTCTTAACCCAAACTAGTTGACTTTATTAGAAAACTGCATAGAAACATGTTGCCTTAAATCCTTTATGTTTTTACACAAGGTGAAACTAAACAGCCCACTTTAAATTAACCTAGAACCTTTACAATCTTCTTGAACTTACAGTAATATTTTAATTCAAGTATGGCTGTTAAGTTGTACCTTGTATAAAATGTAATGGGTTTAAGCCACTGGGTTTCTATACAATTTTCTAGTAAAGTCAACTAGATTGGGTTAAAGGAATAGTTCACTATTTACTCTCCTTTAAGTGGTTGTAAACCTTTTTTAAAAACTTCCAAGTTACTTTGTGTTGAACATGAAGGAAGTTTTTTGAAGAAAGCTGGAAAGCTAAAAACATTGACATACATAGTAGGAAAAAACTAATACTATGGAAGTTAATGTTTGCAGGTTTTCATCTTTCTTTAAAATATAAATTTTTGTGTTTAACTGAAGAAAGGAACTCAGACATATTTGGAACAAGTGAAGGATGAGTCAATAATGACAGAATTTTCATTTTTGGGTGAATCTCTTTAAGAGTATACTGAAAGAAATGTCCTACTCAATGTAGCTAACTTCAGCTGCATGTGTAGCCCCATGAGTACTTATCTAGAAATCAAAACAATAATCACGTCAGTCCCATTTTAGGCCCTTTATATCATATTGGCCACATAATGGACTACTTAGTGTTGCAATAAAATAAAAACATTAATAAAACTATGACTTACCACACAATACAAGACAAACAGTGAATTTTCAGCTCTGCCTTTGCTGTACACAAGATGAGGTTCCAGCTTCAACACTGATCTGAGTGGGGTAGTTGTGCAGCTCTGTGAGGTTGTGACTGTTTAGCTGCAGTGCTGTGAAGAGTTCTTTATTAAAAGAAAGTACATTCTTTTAAAAGCTGTACATAATAGCAAAGAAAATACAATGATTTTAAATAATGATTAATTCTGAACAAAAACATTACCCTTAGTCAAGATGAATTCATATGTCAAAAGTTTCTGCATCTGAAATGAATAAAAGCAGATGTGACATTAGTTAAACCCACTAAACTACTAGATACATCAGTACTGCATTAAGCAGTTGTAAAGTAATGTAAGTGTAGTCCAAAATGAGCCTTAATCTGTTTAAGATAATGATTTAAAAAAACGTTGCTTGTGTTAAAAATAATCCAGCCACTTGTAATACATATGATCAATGGTAAATTTCTGAGAAGGTG